GGGCGTTATCACGTCAGCAAAAACGATTCAAACAAAGGGACAAAAAAGTCAATTCGCCCCTGGTGTGAAACGCCGCGACCAAATAGGTACATATTATTGGACAATTTGCGTGAAGAATAATAATGAGTGTTTGAAGTTTAATTAATAAACTTACCTTCACTTTCATTCGAATCGTCTTGTCGAGCCTCTGATTCAAACATATCAATCGCTGCGGAACGTTCACGTTTACGAGACATGTTTAACGATTCAGGTTTTGGAGATCCCTCACTCAATGATGTCTGACCCAATTCCTGTTTCTTCTCATCCAAATATTCACTACCTAGATTATCAGTTAATGAACTGGTGGAATCTTTTGCCGCTTGCTCTGATGTACCTAGTTCACTTGCAGGAGGCAATATGGCTGGCCCCTGGATTGGTGATTCTTCATCGGCTACACAGCTCGCTGTTACTGTACATTCACCATCAGCCGCTTGTATGTCATCATTTTTAGATTCGGTGGAAGTCTCTTCATCGCTTACAGATGATTGGTCTTCTATCATGTTTTGACTCTCTTTATGTACTTCTTTCTGTAAAGTATTTTGCTCCACTTGATCTATCGCAGGAGTTGGCGCTTGGATAGGCCCAAAAACCTGAGGTAATTCCCACGAGACCTCATTAGTCAGCGTATTCCAGTAATAGACGTAGCTTGTGCTTGGATCACACACTTCCTGCCATGGTTCTGGCAGAACGTAGCCTGGAGATTTAAAGTTATTCTTTTAAATTTGACGTTACAAGAAAGTCTTTATCATCCTAAACATGCAGCGTATCACGTGAAGTCAAATTTCTTTTCTATTAAAAAAGTAGCCAAAAAAAATGCTGAACAGTAAAATTTCGTTTGACCAATGATAAAAAGTTACTATAGGATGGTTTTGAACAGGGCAGCAAAAAATAATTCTCTAAACATATAGTGTTCTAGCTGATCATGGTTTTAAATTCAAGGAATGTCTGTCAACCATATGTTGTTGCGGCCATAGCACAGAATAGGAAGGTATAGCAGAAGTGTAACTTGAGTCGGTTCCTTTATTGTTTTACGTCCACGAAAATTTTAACTCGCTCACGCCATCTTGGCTAGTACAACCGGAAGTTTTTATCAGGTTTTGGTAGGTACAAAGTGCCGGATGTACTAGCCAGGATGGCGTGATTGATGACGAATTGCTTGTAAAAACGCGGACAAATACTTGCTTGAGTTACACTTCTGCTATACCTTCCTATTCTGTGCTCATAGTGGGACATGGGTGTCAAGGTTTCCTTCAAATTTTCAATAGCAAATCTTCTTTCAAAGGAATTTCCTGCAGCTGTTGCTCCTCGCCTACTTTTTCCACCCCTGGTTTTGACGTTTGAAAAAACTAACCTTGCACATTTTGATCAACTACACTCGCATCCGCTTGTTCGTCCAGGGTTGGTGCATCGACAGTTGTGGTGTCACTCGTTGTTTCAATACATTCTGTTGATTTAGAATCTTCGGTACCTATTGCTTCGATCTCCTGAATATTAAAAAAATCAAATAAACATACACTGGAATTTTTTTCAAAATCTTTACTACGGAAATAGTATGGAAATCCAATTTTCAAACTAATCGCAATTTCCATACTATGAATATAGCTCTAGACCGCCATGGAAAGCTAGAGCTTAGAAGCTTAGAACTGGCCAACGTCAACGACGTGACGTATGCATGTAGTGTAGATATGTATCAGCGTATTAATGAATTATGACTGTACAACTCATCCAGTTTTGCCCTTCATTACAATTACTACACAGTTTCTTTCAAAACATTGCATTAAAAGGGTACTTGACACAGAGATAAATGGCTATCACTGTTTCAATTTTACAGAAAAATGAAACTTTCCTAAGGGGAGGTGCATGACTTTTCAGGGGAGGTGCAAAATTCTCAGGGAAGGTGCAAAACCATCTCAGGGGAGGTGCGCATCTCCCCACAAAATCCGGCCATGGCGTCAAATGCCACACAACTCGTTCTCTCCACAGCCTATCTGTGAGATCCTGTTGATGGTACTGTGGAATGTTGTTGTTAGAACACTTTCATTTTAATTTCTTGTTGGGACCCCGTTATTTTAGAGTTTATCTATGTGGGCAGCCCCTGTCATCGCGTATTTATTTGTCATTATGTTATACATGTATGTTCGTATTGTCTGGCGAATCGTATAAATAAATAAATAAATAATAAATAACTGTAAGCATTCAAACACTTTGATGTACATACTTTAAAGAAGTCACTAAGTTTAGAGTCAATTTGAACTTCGTCGCTGGGTTTTGTCTTTTCCTCATTTTTTACATTTTCTTCATCACTGGAGGAACCCTTTTGTTCTAAAAAAAATAGTCATGTCTATATATAGCTATATTATCATTAACTTAAAGTGCACCTAACCTCAATTCTTCTACCATCTCATTCCTAAGAACCTTTGAAATGATATTCTAACTTATTTTGAAGATTTTCGTTTGCACACTTTGTCTCTGAGTTATTTCAGTTTTATTGATATGCAAATGTCCGGAATTTACGTCACATATGAATAATGACTGATCAAAAAATGTAAGGTACAGTTAAATATCATGAAATAAAAAGGCTTAATGGTGTTTTACATATTCATATAGGTATGTGTAATCCTCCCACTACTCCAAACTTCATTTTAATGAATTAAACTCGATAGTGAATACGACATATACAAGCTTTTACTTTAAATCATTATTTGAAAATCTTCAAAATAAGTTATTATATCATTTCAGAAGTTCTTAAGAATGGGATGAGAAAAATAATTGAAGTTACGTGCACTTTAATAATGCTTGCATGTATTTGTTTGTATTTAGTTCAGGCCTTAAAATATCTTTTACAGGGCCGTCTGACAAAATGTCCGATGACTTTGAGTTTGGCTCGGACATATGTATGATGATGTATGATGTCCGATGACCTTCACTTCAGTTTGGCTCGAAAATAAGTCTGAATGACACAAATTAATATCAGCACAATGTAGTGAAGTGAACTGTTGTGAAGATATTAAATAATTTGTGTCATTTATACTTACTTCCAAGCCAAGATTAACTTGCTTGCCAATAATAGCAGTACGACCAATTCGACAACTTAAGCCCGTTTTCCACTTCACCATTTCGCTCGCCGCCCCGCGCTTGGTGACATTATTAAAAACATTTCCGGTTCAGTTTTGTACAATACTTCAATTCTCCATTATAACAAGTACGGTACATTTTGATTTACGTGCGTGGAGAAAGCGTCGGACAAAGCTACAGTTCGGTCGGACACCAATTCACTCGGGTCGGACAAACAATTAATCTCAGTTTAACTTAGGTCGGACAGAATGTCCGGTGGTTACCTCTCTACGTCGGACAATTTCACGAATGGGTCGGACAATGTCCGTGACCGACCGATATTTTAAGGCCTGAATTTAGTTGCTTTTTGAAAGTTGCTTGATTTATTGACGGTAAGTAAGGGTTATGCAATAGTTCCATACATTCAAGGTGTCACAGAACCAATCAAGAGAATCTTAGGTAATTGTAATATTAAGGTTGCCTTAAAACCCTATTTGACTTTAGGCCATATTTTCGCAAAGCCAAAAGATCCTGTTAAAACAAATCAGAAAACTCATGCTGTATATTCTATACCATGCGGTGACTGCGAGAAAGAGTATTTGGGTCAGTCTAAACGCCAGTTTGGTACACGGCTAAAAGAACAACAAAAGGCTGTTTCAACTTTAGACAAGGGAAAATCAGCTTTAGCCGAACATGTATGTTACACCAAACACGAGATTGCGTGGGAAAGCTCTAAAGTAATTACCACAAACAATCGCTATGGTAAAAGACTTTGCCTAGAAGCGTGGCATATAAATACGAGTAATCATGCTTTGAATAGGGATGACGGTGCCTATTTGCCAGAGGAATATATGCATCTCATTGGCAGGTGACGTCATCCCTTGAGTATTTTTAAATCTTAAAAGATGCCACGATTGCAATTTTAGATCACCCCTGATGAAGACACTAGACTGGAGTGTCGAAATGTTGGGTCTTGATTACAATTCGACTGGGCTTTGTAATAATTTAATTAAACCAGAGTAGCGAGCGAAACATGATTGATATACCTGGTTGCAGTGAACGAACAAACTTTAAAAGTAAGAAGTTGTTCACTTCAACAAATAACTACTTAGTAATACTCTCCACTTTCATCGGGTGCAAACTGCAAATTACAAAATGTGTTTGGAACAGATTTAAATAGCCCAATACTGTATCAGTTCATACAAGTCATATTAAATTCTGTATTATAAATAAAGCGTATTTACAAGGGATATTCTCCATTTACAAGCGGGAAAAAGATCATTGTCATAAATTCAAATTCTTCGCCACAATTTGTTTACGAAAATGTGTCAAATTTGCCTTAAATTTTTGCAACACGCGGCAGCAATGCCAATGGACCTATTCTCTAATGAACAAAATTTTGATCTAGACAAGTCTAGACAAATCTTTCACATCAGCTTGAAAGAGCATTACAAAATTAGTAATATTCCGAAGTTTCAACGGCCAATCAGATTCCTCCCTGAAACGGATTATCCCAGAGCCTCGCGTTCCTTCCCGAGGATCGCAGGCTCGGGGAACGAGATTGCGCTTTCTGAAAAAAGGTATCAATTTCCCGCGCGTAATACAAAATGACTGTAAAACGGCAAACTTCGCAGTGCTATATTATCCGCATTTTACAATATTTCGCAACGAAACTTCGGAATATTACTAATTTTGTGATACTCTTTCAAGCCGTGATGAAATTTTTGTCTAGAATAGGTCCATTGCCAATGTGCAATACATACTAATTTTCTGTTTGTTTGTCCAAACGGCTGCGCTCTATGGCATATGCTATCCCGCGAGTGTACCTCAAAGTAGGTGATTATGTTTATATGGGAAATACCAGGGTAACGCAGAGCAAATCTCGAATCTCGGTTAGGGCCTGTTTATATGGAGGTAGGATAACCCTACCACTCAAGGCTATGTTAGGTAAGGTAACCCTACCTATGCATGGACGCTAAGCAAGCTGTATTTGAAAATTATGCCTGAACGAGTTTTAGCAGCAAGTTGTATAATTTTATGTCTTGGACATTTGCTTGCTGCATTTCAATGCTGAATTGGGCCGCCTTTTATTTGTGTGTTAATATTGTTTAAAAAAGGTGAATAAAGCATGACCCGCTATCTGATGCATTTCCATGGCCTATGTATCTATCTGATGCATTTCCATGGCCTATGTAAACAAAAACATACTTACTATTGTTCCCAGTAAACTGCGAAACGACCGGTTTCTTAGGCGGTTTGTCAGTGACATATTTGTGTACCTCGTGCTCACAATTCGTTGCAAGCGGCGTGTGAAAAACTGCAAGTTTTAGTTTGACATTTCTGACAGTTAAATGGTTTCTAATTTTATTGTCCAATCAGGTGCGTAGTTTTGATTTAAAATTCAAAACTACGCATCTGATTGGACAATAAAATTAGAAACTCATTTAACTGTCAAACTGAAACTTGCAGTTTTCCACACGCCGCTTGCAACGAATTGTGAGCACGAGGTACACAAATATGTCCTTCGTAATTGACAAAACTGTCACTGACAAACCGCCTAAAAAATGGTCGTTTTGCAGTTTACTGGGAACAATAGTACATAGCCCATCTGCTGGATATGGTAACCTACCCCCATGGTCACCCATGTTGTTAATATTGATTTACATTTTCTGGTGTTTGTAGTTGTTTGTATCATGTTTGTACTTAGTGAAGTCTAACAAATATAGCATAAGCTATTAACGGGGCCTTACATCTATGAGATTGTGGGTTCGCTTCTTGCTATGGACTCATGTGAAAAGAGTCGGTCAACGCTCTGCCGAAAGTCATGGGTTTTCTCCACATGCTCTGGTTTCCTCCCACAGGGAAATGACAGGGTTGTTAAGATGAAAACAATTAAGAAAGTAATATCACAATTGTCATAGGCTAAATACGTAACTGGGTATAAACTATAAAGGCCAAATATGTAACTGGTTAGGCTAAATATGTAACTGGGTATGTAACTGTAAATGAGTAAGCATAATACTTGATGTAAAGCTTTAGAAATGTTAATTGCAATGCTTGTATTTAGCATATCTACAGTTTTATACTTAATGTCTGGGTTTCTATTAATTATGTGCCGCTTTTCCCCACCCTTTTCAATTTCCCTTATCGCTCTTTATGGACATTTTGTCCAATTTAGTAACACAATAATGACAATATATATGCAAGTACATCAGACACATTCAGTCATCAACAAAGAATTGTTCAAAAAATTTAGATTATATTAGATTACCTTCATCATCACTATCTTCAGCATACTGTCCCAGCAATCCAATCCCTACAGAAGATTATGGTATATATTAACATAATATTATATGCATGATATAAACATTGTTCCAAAATAGTGATTACAGTGAAATGGATTAATCATTTGATTTAAATGTAAATGTTTGATTGTATATAACTAGCTACAAATCAATATCCCAGAAAAACTGTTATAATTATAATTTGGGTTATCGGTTTATATTTTTTTAAAAATTGGTAGTTATATTTAAATACTCGCTGTATTTGTGTAAAATATTGATTCAGAAATAGAGAAATGACTTACATGTATACAGTAATTTCACAGAATTATAAAAAATGTGGACTAATGTGCTTACAAAACCTTCTGTACTGCTCATGTACTATACTGTAAGAAGGAAGCCGCCATAAGCAAAGAAGCATGTTGTGGATGGATTTCTTGTATGTGGAATTCTCGAACATAAATTTCTATACAGTTAGATATAACCAGGAGCAGTGAAAAATGCAACTAAAGGCCACGTGCATGGTAGAAATCGAAGCTGTGATTCCAGTGTAGTGCTGTAACCATAGCTACAGAGTGTTAGTATGTACTCTACCTGAAATGCTTGTTGGGTTAATCTCTCTTTTTCTTGACACCAAATGGCTACCTGTAAACAAGAGAAAGTCTGTGTGTAGTACAGTACACTTCAGAAACACATTCCTTTATTTGTGTTGTAACCCCATGTCCAGTAATCCCAACCCTGAGGCACCAGGGCTCAATATAACGGTTGGCCACCGGCCATTAGCCGAGCAAAATGCTGATATGGCTGTCTACTGATTACTTTACACGGACATTATGGCCGATCGTTTTGTCTCATTAATTTGAATATTTCTTCCTTTATTGTTGCAAATCTCTTTAACAACATCTGTAATCTTTAACACATGCAAACAAAGATTCCGTCTGCTAGAGAATCACAGAATCTGACTTTGTCCCGATCCACACAATAACAAATTTGTCATCTCTTGTGTTAAGAGAAATATTTCATATTGTTACTGAGTAAGTTGTCATTGAAATTGTGTAATTTTGTGAACCATTATGCATATATACTGTATGCATATGGTTTTGGACTTTTGGTAGTTGTTACGGTTTTGACAATATGAAATTGGACGAAGACCCGTACTCAGGAAATAAAATAACAACATAAAACGCTCACTGAGTTTCCAGCGATATACATATATATATATATATATGCGCAGTTGTTCAATCGTTCTCTTGTAATCGTTGAATAAATAAACCTTTGTGTGTGTGTATTCTTTCCTTTTAAGTGCCCATCCAGGGTCACAAGGCCTGGACATTTACTATATGTGACAATGGTAAATGAGCTCAGGAGTGGAAGGAATACATTCGTTCGTTCGCTTATTATTATTAGGTATATATCTAGAAAAGGGTATGTATATCGCTGGAAACTCAGTGAGCGTTTTATGTTGTTGTTACGGTTTTGGTTTATAGTACTGTGACAACTGACCTTTAGCTCGGTCAAAAACAGATTTTGACCGAGCTAAAATCAAGTTGACCGGTCATTTTGACTGGAGACCTATCTCCTGTTATTTTGGGCCATGCATGACATTCATTACTTGATAAATAAAGCAATTTATGATGAACGCATAAGAATCAATCATATACTGTACAACTTATAGGGAACCAAAAACCATTTCATCTCACAACACTACTGCATGCATTGTTCTCTAGTATATTTTCCTTTCCGAAGCTCTATAATTCCCTTATAATCATGACTTAGCAAATACAGTACACAAATTTTCTAGAGTGTCATGTATTTTAGTTTTATAATTTTTTTATTCATTTAAGTGGCCCATGATGACAGGCCGGGCCCACAACAAATGCTTGTTGTCTCGTCCCTGGCCAGGATACCCCTGATATGGCAAACTCCAATCACAGTACAATGCACATAATCCTCTTTCTTGTACAAGCTTAAAATTTATGGCCATCACTTACTCTAAAAAATGCTATACTGTGCTTGATACACGTAGTTCAGGTGAGGCTATTTAGCTGGCTTATACAATTGTTAATTTGGCAAGTCCTAGAGCTTCAAAAATGTAAACATATTCTTGGGGGAGGACTTCCAAAACTTAGTATGACAGTGCGAATCAATCACAAAAAGCTTTATTATAAATATTACCGAAATCAGTAGAGTGTGATTTTTTAACAAATTCCTAAGACTGGGAAATTTCATTCTAGATGTGACTATGTGAGGTTGTCTACTGGCGCTGGTCCACCACTAAACAGCTATGCACTTACAGACGGGAAACGACAAAACGCGGACCCCAGGTCCATGGACTACCTTCGTGGACCCGGTCCATGGACTACACTCATGGACCACAGACCACTCTCGTGGACCACTTGCAAAATTTTGCCTACTGAACAATAGACCAAGCACAATTAACCCGAGTTTAGGAAGCGGAGATTGGCGGGAACAATTTCATTATTCATTTCCATTATTTATTTCACAATCAATTCAGTTTTTGTTGATGAACAGTGAATACTAAGTCTGTAAAAATGCTGAAAAAATGTAGTCAGGGTTCATTAAAAAATATAGGAATACTGTGGAGAATTTGGAGGGGAGGGGTGGCGGGAGGGGTGGTTAAAAGATTTTACCTAATTATTCGAATTTTACTGTTAATAAAAAATCACTTGAACTGTAGAAGTCGTAAGTTGCAATGACCTTTCAATGCCTGAAGGTCCTCTCCCAAAAATATGAATTTTTGAAGCCGATTACTGCTTTTTAAGGGCATATATAGGAACTTAAAGTCGTAATTGTACACTTATATTTTAGAATGGTCATATAGTGAATGGATTAAGAACTTCACATTTTGTGTAATGTTTCCACAATGACAATAATGATTGAACTCGAATCGAGCACATTTTTCCATGCACAGTCAAGAATTCAAACCCTAAAATCTGGTGTCTCACAAGTGGTCCACGAGAGTGGTCCACGAGAGTGGTCCACGAGAGTGGTCCACGAGAGTGGTCCACGAGAGTGGTCCACGGGAGTGGTCCACAGGAGTGGTCCACGAGAGTGGTCCACGAGAGTGGTCCACGAGAGTGGTCCACGAGAGTGGTCCACGGGAGTGGTCCACGAGAGTGGTCCACGAGAGTGGTCCACGAGAGTGGTCCACGAGAGTGGTCCACAAGAGTGGTCCACGGGAGTGGTCCGTGGTCCACGGGAGTGGTCCGTGGTCCACGAAGGTAGTCCATGGACCAGGTCCACGAAGGTAGTCCACAGACCTGGGGTCCGCGTTTTGTTGTTTCCCCTTACAGACCTTACACAATGACATCCCACTGTGTAGGTCAGAAGAAGACTAAGTTGAAGACTAGGATATTGAGGCCATTACCTTATAACATACCCTATATATTACTATATAGGCATACCCTTATAACCTTATTATGATCTAAAAACCAGCTGAAACTGGACAAATAAATTTATTACTTGTGTACACTGTGTTCCAAACTATGCCATCAGAGCGAAATGATCAGATACCACATTTTAGGTCTGTTCACACTAGGGGTGCACCGGAACTCAGTTCCGGCTGGTTAGTTCTGGCCGTAACCCCGATTGTTCAGAGTTCCGGTTCCAGCTGGAACTAATAAAAAAGCATGGCTGGAACCGGAACTCTGTTGTTTTCAGAGAGAAGGATATCAAACGATACACACCTACTAAAAAAGAGCAAAATAAAGACAGTGCCACTGTTCACATACTGCCACCAAACCGTGGTGTTAGCCAGGATTTCAAAAGTGGCCGTCCAAAATAATTTTGTGGGCGTGGTCACATGTTTTTGGGCATGGCCACAATTTTTTGTTGTTGTGGAATTGTGGTGTTCTATTCGTTGAACCTTTTTACTTTTAGTTTTAGATGCACATTTAAGTTATTAAATTAGTAAAAGGCTAAAAGCACACGTATGGTATGAACCGTATGATCACTACAATGTACTGGCTACAGTATATGCTATAATGAAGAACACAATATGTGTACAGCAGTGTAGTGTTTAGTTATTTTTTTATCAATCACCGATATTTTTTCCCTTTTGTTGATGCGTTTGGCTCATTTTATAGCCATCTTTACCGTAACTGTAACTATAAAGAGGGCCCCCTATACCTCTTCACAATATGCTTTCACGTAAAAATATTTTGCCTTTTCACGAGTCACGGATTAAGAAAATCATCAATCACGTTTCACGGCTAAGTAAAATAAGCCCTTCACGCTTCACGCAAAAAGTATAGGGGGCCCGATCACGTTTCACGGCTAAGTAAAATAAGCCCTTCACGCTTCATGCAAAAAGTATAGGGGGCCCTCTATAAAGCAGTGTGGTGCTTGAGCGATAAAGCGATTGCTGTTTTTTAAAACGGCGGTTTCGAATTATTCTCCTTGATACTTCATGCGAGAATCATCAACATGGTTACAAAAACATGGCACGTTTGTCGGACTTCAATTCAGGCATATTCAATGTGTTTTCGAGGGGGAAAAGTATGAAAACATATACCATAAGTAAAGTAAACAGCAGATGATAACAATTCGAAGTATTCAAGAGATATTACAAAGCTTGTAAATTGCTATTTAAAGAAAAAATTCCCTTAGGCTGTCCATGGCCGTCCATTAAAATTTAGCCGTCCAAATTCAGAAATGGCCGTCCATAGGACGGTCGGACGGCCGCCTGGCTAACACCCTGCACCAAACCACAGAATACTACACAGAAGTCGATCTCCATTGTTTTTTGCGTAAGCGTTATTCGTCATGATTCGTCACTCAGCAAGTACCGTAAACAGAAGCAGTCACCCCCCTGGACGTGTGCCATTTTTAGTATTTCCAGGGGGGTGACTGCTTCTGTTTGCAGTACTTACTGAGTGACGAATCATGAGGAATAGAGCTTACGCTAAAAACAATGGAGATGGACTTCTGTGTAGTATTCTGTGACCAAACACTCCGTTTACATATCGCTCGGTTTACGAAACCATGCTCAAAGGTGAAGTTTTCAAAATTCAAACTCTTTGCTCCAGCATAGTGTATTGGTTAATTGTGAATTTTTTGGGGCCGTTCTCAAACTGCTCTGGTCTAGTCTTAGTGTTCTCTATGACATGTTTATAAATTAAGTTTATTCACTTTTGAAATGGTGAATTTAGATCAAATCGTATTGTTTGTATTTTTGGCGCCTTGGCGTTCGAACTTTGAACTACTTCATCTTCGAATGGATTTCTATTTTCTAGAATACTCAATAAAATAATTCTCTACTACCTTCGTTGTCTTTCTTGCGTGATACAGGCTCGATTTGAAGAACAGTTCTTCTCCGACCAGCCGAACCAGCGTTAAATTTCTCTCGTCCTCGACGGCCCATATTTATGCTTTGTGAACTCGCATGCTATCCCTCATTCAAAGACAAGTAAATACCATTACAAGAGTGCACGTTCATGGTGAAATCCTCGTGAAATAGTATAAAACGACTAGCAATTTTGTAGTCTTTCGTAAAGTATAGGTTTATTCTAAAATACCAGACCAGACACGAGAATAGCGATTGGATACGAGGCTATTAACAGTTCGGAAATTCCTTGGTAAGAGCTCGGAAATTCCTTTTTTAGAATTTGGGATAAGAAAGGTATACATCAAGTCATACAACTTCGTAATTGAACCAGATAACAGCTTGAAAACTGTGTAATTCGCAAAAATAACACTCTAACTAACCTCAGGGAACTAACTATTGGCTATTAAGGCAATTAGCCAAGTCACTGGCAGTCAGATTATTGAAAATATTGCGATTTAATAGGGGTCACAGAGAAGCGCCATTTGGCATTTCCTGAATTTTTGGATAGTTAAGAAAAACATTGTCAAAAGCACGGCTTTTTGCTGTGCATCGTATTATAAAGTTCGTATAAAGTCCCGTATAAAACTGTTCATGGAATGATTGAATTTCGAGGAATTTCATGGGATTGCGCAAAATTCCTTGTTGAAAGGATATTTCCTGTCATCATCACTTTTTCATTCATTATATTTTAATGTTACATGACGTTTGTCCGGGGTTGCGAGCATGTACAGTTCACGGGCTCAAGTAGAAATGTAAATTCTCAAAATGGAGAAATATAAAATAAAGTGAAATATTGGAATGATTCTTGGCTGTTAGAGATGGATATTTGAATAAGTTTATTTGAATATGCTGATATTAATATGGCCCAGAAATCAGCCAAGGTACCTGGTTTAACGAGGCCATTTTGTTTTGAGTTTGTTGATGAAGATAGGTCATGCCAATTTCAAGCGAATGTGGTTATTCCTGCTGATATTTCGAAAGTGGATGAATTTGCAAAGAGAATTGTGAATTATCATAGTCTGCCTGTGTACCTGGAAGAAGGTAATTTTACTAATTTATCTAATTAAGTGGATCTGGGCCCTTGATTCCGTATCAGACTGAAAAGTTTTATTTTGAGCAGGAAATATAATTTTTTCCTTCTGTTCAGGTCTAGTCTTATTATCCTGCAGGCATGAAGTGTTTTTGTCAAATAGCAAGATCGGAAATAGTCTTGGTTATTGGTTCACAAAGGCATTTTGTGCAAATTATTCAGAAATTATTTTAGAGCTGCAAATTAATGCTCCGGCCGATTAATAGGCAATTCCAGCTTTTAGTTTATGCCTGCAGGGGATGATGGGAAGTAAGGTATCACATTGCATATTATGTTGAAAAATTTCAATAAAAACTACCGAAACAACCGAAATATTTCAATATTTACAAGTATAAGCTATCATTCCGTGTTTACACGGCAACCATTTTTATTTTTTCAGCATAATCAGCAGTGTGACACCTTACTTCCCATTCCACTAAAAGCTGGAATTGCCTATTGATTATTTTCCCACAATCAATTATGTTTAACAGTAATCAGATCATTTATAACACCACACAGCATGATGCGGGAGTGAAGGTAATTTCGTTTCGGATTAAAAAAATTGCGAGAAGATTATGATTAAAATATTAATTAAATGACAAACATTGTGGGTCAAATATCAAATTCACTCGTAGCGTGCAAAGTTTACCATTGTCTGATTGGGTGTACAGTGCTGCGAAAATATCGAACCTGTGGCCCTGCAGTTAAGGTGGTGAGGGTAGTTAGAGTTCAACAACTGGACTCTGTAGCTCAGTTGGTTAGAATCACAGGGCCGCAGGTTCGATGCCTACCTGTAGTAGCATTTTTCACAACTTTTCCTGCTTGTTAGGATTGCATCTATTTCTCTGTGATACAAAAAGTTTAAACAACAACAACAAAGGTATATATTATTAGGGGTGCACCGGAACTTGGTTCCAGCTGGAACCCTGATTTTCCAGAGTTCCGGTTACGGCCGGAACTAATAAAAATAGCATGGTCGGAACCGGAACTCCACATGTTATTTTCAGAGAGATAGAATATCAAACATTTTTGTGTGTAACAATGAAAGTTCACAGTAGGAAGACATTTGGACTCCACAACGAAAATATACACCATTAACACTTCGTTATGACATTTACTGTAATGTTTGTCGATCTTTTTATTAAGCTCTCTCCTTGATGATTTCAAGTGTCTGCCTGTCTGTCAGCAGACAAAATAACATATGATTATATATGGCTTAATAAATCAGTTCCGGCCGAAACTTTTTTCCAGTTCCGGTCAGATCCACAAGCAGATCACAAGGACATACATGCATGTATATACCACATGACTTCATAACATGCCTATATTAGCATAATATGTAAACACATATAATTATATATTCTTAACAATGCTCAGGTCCAATAAATGTATATAAAGGCTAGTTTCCACTCAAGAAAATTATCTGTGAATTAGAATGGACAAGAAAATTTTTCTTTGTGTTAAAGTCATTAGTTCCAACCCAGAGCTCACCCAGAGCAACAAAGAAAAACTTTCTTGTCCGTTCCAATCCACAGATAATTTTCCTGAGTGGAAACTAGCCTTAAATTTCCACTGGATCACTTCCATCTACAAGACCCTTCAACAATCCTTCAATATTTATATTCAATCAAGTGAGATGCCAACACAATCCTAGCATGCGAGCAGGCTCTCTAACGAAATCCTGGTAACAACCACAATGTTTAATATTTACCATCAATGATACTTTATTTTTTCCATGTGTACAGGAAAATGCCATTAATTGTAAACATTAAATTAAACATGGTTTTTACCAGTTTACCATACGGGAAACCTATAATAACCAATAATGGTAAGAGTTCAGTTTTTACATTGATAGTATACATGGTAAATCTTTAAAAACCATCAACATTTTCAACATTGTGTTTTTTATGAAAATTTTCACAGTGAATATGCAGTCACCAATTCTATTGTAGGCTTTTATGAATGAATTATGCTTCTAATAGCCAGTATACAGTGTAACTGAGCCTTGCTGATACTTCTCTAACCCTGCAATGCTTCCCAGAAATGAGTAGTACATCCTAATTGGTCATTGCTAAACTAATTAGTATGTTCTGATTGGTTGGGCTGAAAGGTCAACAAAGTTTCAACCTTAGATTGCCTTGCTTGTATCATGCTCCTCCCCTGATATGGTTTTGCACCTCCCCTGAGAATTTTCGCAGCTTTCCTGAAACGTGATGCACCTCCCCTTGGGAAAGTTTCATTGATAGATTAAAGTGAATATTTGAAATTTTTTGGTTGCTTAGGGTCAACACTTTGTAAGAAAGTATTTTTTCTGTAAAATTGAAACAGTGATAGCCATTCATCTCTGTGTCAAGTACACTTTTAACAGGGATGGATTTACTGGGGTGTTCAGCCTAGCCCTGGCCAGAAGGGGTGCAGGGGGGTGCTATTTTTCATGATAAAGCAAAAAATTATTAGAGACAAGATGAGATACTGAATAACAGTAATTTGAGTGATAACATGATGATAAGCGAACTGTGAATTAACAAATATAAAACATTTTCCGTGTTGATATACAGTTATATCAACACGAGTGGAAATTGGGAAAACGAGAAATTGTGTGGAAACACAACGCCCGAAGGGCGGAGTGTTTTCACACAATTTTGAGTTTTCCCAACTTCCACGAGTGTTGATATAACTATATATCAATACGGAAAAAATGTTTTATATTCGTTTTATAATATAGCAATGTCAAAAGCCCGAAGAATAAGAAAAATTTCCGTGTTACAAGCGGCGGAAAATTTCCCGTGTTGACATGGAGTTATATCAACACGGCTCTTAGCCAATCAGCGTTCAGAATTTACAAATGCTATATTATTATAACAACAATTACAATTCAAATACTGTAGTCAAGCAAAACTTTGCAGTAGTGAAGCTGACTTGTCCCCAGTCGTCTCTGCAGTGAGCACGCGCAAGCATGGAAAGCACGCGCAGGGGGAAGCAAGTTGATGGGCGGGCGGCACACATGACCGACACAACTCGGCACCAGAGCTGGCAGAGTACCCCCCTACCAGATCATGCTGGATCCATCCCTGCCTTTTAATGCAATATTTTGAAAGAAACTTTGTAGTAATTGTAATGAAGGATGAGTTGTACAGTCATAATTGATTAATTAATACACTGATCAGTAATTATGTACACTACATGCATATGTCATTGACTTTGGCCCATTCTAAGCCCTTGCTTTCCATGGGGATTGTCAGCTAGACTGCTGCACCTCCCCTAAATATTTTTCCATTTCTCCTACTAATTCCACCAATATCTGGTCTTGCCTACAATTGCTGTTATTTTCAACCGTTTCTTTTTACATTAAATATGCTCAATTAGATATCATATAACCCATTATTGTCTGGTGTTAGACAGAGTAAAATTATAATAATGTTGGATGCCTTTGGGTGCATTGCAGCTGAATTGGTTGATCTGCAAGATAATAGGTCCCTGTCTGGAATGCTTTTCTATTGAAACTTTAATTGTGTAAATCTTAACAAAAGATACTAAGAAAATATTATTTCCACCAAGGTTCAAAGTTTTTTGGTAGCTGACCAATCAAAATGTTCTACTTGCGGACCTGCGACTAGATTAATATTTTCAAAGCATGAGGTGTCATTTGCAGATATGACTTAGAATGTCCATTTAGTGTGAAATCCATTCCTGTCCTGATTTGCAGCTTTGAAAATTATTCCAGGCTTTGAGTACAAAATCTTTTTAACCTTTAAATAACCCTTAAGTGGCAATGCACCCTGATTTAGTATTTCACTCTGTCTAACGCCAGACAATTTTACTCATCAAGTGGAGAGTGCTGCCACTCAATGGGTTAATATGTAGTTTGTTACTTTGTTTACTCTTAGATTTGCTGAATGCTCTTCAAGTTTTCATGAGAAAGGAAAATGAGGCATATTATAATGATCTAGCAGATGAAATTCTAGAAACATATTCACACAATCCAGAACAATTTGAATCAGCAATTGATGCATGGAACGAGGCTTTTACACAAGAATGCTCGAGATACTCGGATGCTAAAGAAGTAAGAACTGAGGAACTAACGTTCTCTGAGATGTATCATTCACTCATTCATTCATCTGCCTTGGAGACATTGCTGCAATTGGAAAATACTTATGCATTAGCTGTTCAAGATATGTTGGCAAAAAGAGACGCTGTTTTAAAGAAATTAGAACAAAAGTAAGTCTCTTGTTTAATTAATTGATCAACCCATTAGTGCACAAGACTGCCCTTTGACAGTTTGACAATTGTCTGGCCTTAACAGAGTAAAATAATAAAGTACCTGGCGCATTTGGGTGATAATCACCTCGAGGTGATAATCACACACGGGCAATAATCACATCGCCTTTAACAAATAATTGTTGATTATGATATTTGCTGTGTTGGTGTAATGTACTCAGGTGAATAAGATGTTTGTGTGATGTTACTCTGAGTGTATATCCACATCGGGCAGGCTTGAAAAATATGCCTGGCCACATTGAGTTTAGATGAACAGCTGGGGTGGTTGCACCCTACCTACAGTGACACTTGTACTCAATAAACGTAGTTGAGACGGAATGTGTTAAAGCAGGGGCACTGAGGGACACTATAAACTGGTTAAAGATGGCGAATCCAGTTTTTCTTGTGTTGTGAGATGAATTCCAGTCATTTTTTCTTAATTGTCGGGTTTCCAAATGAAAACTAATTTCCACACGTCAAGAATTTGACTCAAACAACTTCATTTTTACTGCACTGAAACTTTGGTGAGAAGATTGAGTTTCAAAACTCAATTCAATTGGGGCCGTTTAACGGCCCTAAAAAATCCCTGAAAAAAAGCCTGTTGGTGTAATGTACTCAGGTGAATAAGATGCTTTTGTGATGTTACTCTGAGTGTGTATCCACATCGGGCAGGCTTGAAAAATATGTCTGGCCACATTGGGATTCGAACCTACGACCTTTGGAATACTATACCCGACCTGACCGCGTAGCTCAGTTGGCAGAGCATTGGATTGGTATTCCAAAGGTCGTAGGTTCGAATCCCACCGTGGCCAGGCATATTTTTCAAGCCTGCCCGATGTGGATATACACTCAGAGTAACATCACACAAGCATAATTGTTAATTAATCGAATTTAAATTTTCATGGTAACGATGAGCCGATAATCAAGCGATCAATCGGAAACGTTTTGATATTTTGCATGTATTTCTTCAGGAAAAAACTTGTATTTTATTTAATTTTATATTATAATTTTTCATGATTTGGCATGCTTTGTCAAGTTGTTGATTACTTGTTAAGAGATCACTGAGACGCTTAAGTCATACTACACAACGATAAAGATACGATAAATTGTAAACACGCGATAAGTGGCAAACAATATTGTGTTACTGTCCACAGTACAACGACAATGATAAAATTATCGTTTGACGATAACGTTTTTAAAATCGTTCACCTGAGCGATTTTTTTTTCAGTCGGACATAACGATAAATTTTTGACCAATCAGCGCGCGTATACAAATTATCGTATCGTTATCGTTGTGTAGGTGTGACCTGGGCTTTACAGTGTGTACTAAAACTGTCTGTACCAGTGTGGGTAGTACCATGCAATGTGAAATTGCTGTGCTGAGTGGTTTATATTACTACCTGAAAAAAAAACAAGCAGAAACTCGATGTTTCGAGCGAAGGCCCTTCGTTCGAGCGAAGGCCTGCTAAATCTTGACGAAGGGCCTTCGCTCGAAATGTCGAGTTTCTGCTTGTTTTTTTTTCAGATAGTAATATAACCACTCAGCACAGCTTTACAGCGTAGGCTCTCCCGATATCCCGCATACTCAATGAGTTAAATAACCACAGATATCTTATATAAAAGGCATCAACTAGTTCGCTGACCTCAAAATGACATTTCGTCAAAACTTTTTTTCTTCAAGATTGGTTTAGAAACAAATTTGGAGTAGGGTTAGGTTAGGGTTAGGGTTGGGATAAGGATTAGGGTTAGAGTTTAGAAATGTTGGAGTAGGGTTCGTGTTAGTAAAACCGTTGCTTTGTTACGTTTTTTCACTCTGAGGCCAGCGAAATAATCTCTTCCTATATAAACTAGATAGCGCATCTCTTTTAGTAAAATTGAAGCCAAGAATATTCCAGCGGTTACCCCCATTTGAATAGATAGCGGCCATGTTGGAGTTTCCCGCTCGCTAATAAACGCTTAAAAAAGCAACAATAACTTTCATCATTTGAATAGTTTGAAAATGTATTTGGAATAGGTTTAACTTAATGTTTAAGTTTCCTGTTTAAGAAATAGAAAACATACGAGTCTTCTCATTTCATGGGAATATCCTGAGTCTGCAATCACGGCTTCTATTTTTGAATTGCAGAATAATTAGATGCACTATCTAGTGTATATAAGATATATATGTAAATAACTCGTAAACTCGATTGAACACGCCAAATAATTAAAAATCTAAATTATAGACGTCTATATTATAGACATCAACTTGTAAGTAAACTTGTCTAAAAGGTAATTTTTCACATTTTTTTCAGGCAAAATGTAGAGATGCAAGCAGCACTCTCGGATAACCATGATGAGTTGGTCAATAACCTTGCTACAAGACATTGTGAAGACATGCAGGTTAGAATTTGCATATAATCCATATATAATGACTTTCAGTTTTTCCTGGGAATATACAGGCTGAATATATTTAACTCGAAATTATAATTAATTGCAATCTGAGAGCTCGGCTACAGTTTGCCGACCTCTTGATCGATAAAGCACTCATTTACTAATGTTTCGACGCCATATTTATTCCGTTTTTAGAACTATCGTCAGAGATACGAAGTTTCATATTATTCTGACACTGCAATAGACCAACGAAAAATTCGTTGGCTCGAGCGGGATTTATGAAATAGAATTACCAATCCCCGTTGACTCGATAGCCCAATGGGTGGAGGGGTGGAGCGGCGGTCTAGATACCCGAAGATGCGCGTTCAAATCCCGCTCGAACAAACGAATTTTTCGTTGGTGTATTGCAATGTCAGAATAAATATGAAACTGATATTTATTCCAATTGGGTATCTCTCCTAGCGGCCAAGTCGTGTTTAAGAAAATCACTTTCATGTCGTCTTCCTATGGTTAAACTGCTGTCGAGCGATTTTGTTTTGAGATTTTTGACGCTGTTTGGTGAAACAATCAACAGATTCATCACTGTATAGTCGTAATCTACAGTATATCATGAGTGTGAAAGACTAGATATTGAGCAATATTGCTTGGTATTTTGCATCCAATTCAGTAACTACCTGACCAAAAATTTATGTAAGGAATTCCGTTCCTGCCATGACGAATTTTCACTGACCGCTGGCTAACAGGAATATGTTTTGTAGATGATATCGACGCAGTGGTCGAGTGCTTTGTCTGATCTCCAAGAAGCTCAGAAAAGAGAATATCAAGAGTGGGTTGCTAAAGTTCATGAAGATCTTGTGAGGACGTCGAGCAAAGCCAAAGGTATATTGTTCAATTTCTTGTTTGTTTTTTGATAATTACAGTAGTCACGTAGGCATTGAATGGTTGGTTTGGTTTGGGTCTAAACAAACTCAAGAGGGGTCCGAGAGCAATGCTATCTTGGAAAATTTTGCAATATAGACTCTCTGAAATTGTATTTCCTGCGTTCTGAGGAACATTTGACACGCAGAAATCTCGATTTAACTATATACATGCAACAACTGTTTAAAACCACAATTAACTAATCCCTTGTTCCGCCTATGATTGGTCGTGGTTGCCTTATATGAAACATGTGTAAGAATCACGACAGCCTATCAATCTGAACATAGACAATCGAGTGGAGTGGATTGAAAACACCAATGCAAAAAGCCGTCGTCATTCGTGACATTCGGGTATGGGCTATAATAATGAACTGTCTTTGCCAGTGTAGGTAATGCCAATAAAATGAACAAGCTTTCGTTGGTGGGGATGCAACTACCTTTGAAAGTATATAATGAGAATGTCTACATTTCAAGCCCTGGTATATTCCAGACGAAGTGAACGATCGGGAAAATTAGTATAAAGATGTAAATTAAACATGTACAATACTTATGGATTATAAAGGCAGGAAAATTAGACCAATGTGTGTACAAACATGCATGTCAAACAAACTGCATTTAAGGTAGCTTGCCAATCGTTGTTAGAAGGTGTCGATATAGAGGTTTAATGATAGTAGTTAGATGATCGACTCGAGGCATGCGTAGACGAACTAGACGTGCGGGATACGATAATAACCAAATGTTCCACCCTCCCTCCTCCACTTTCCTCCGCATGAAGATAACATCACTCAGTGAAATTCAATGATCCAACTTTTGTAAGGATTGAGAAGTCGAAATGTTTATCGACAAAGGAGTCTTGGCAATTTCTAGTATTGGTTTTAAGTCGCTTCATACCTTTGTTTGATCAATAACAATTCACAAGGCCTTCATATGCATTTCGCATAATATATAGCGACACCTGAATTCCATTTCAAAAATAGGCTACATTTGTGCACTCTCTTGGCCTCACACTTTTAAACAGGCTTCCTTCTTAAAATTGGATAGCTAGAAGTATACTTAGATATATATTTTCCTCATATTGTATTACATGCTCGAAGATCATAGGGGGGTGCTACCCCCCCCCCCAATATTAGCTATAACCCCCAAACAAAATGTCCACTCTCCAAAAATTTCAACCCCCCAATATTCGGCATAGTCCACTCCAACGTGAAGAGTGTTGATGATACAAAATAAATGTAGGAGTACACTCAAACAGAAAAAGACAGTGCAATACTCTGAAACTAATTGCTCCTCGCTTGCATGCACTGGTTTATTGGACCAATTGTAAAGTTTTGAAACTCTATTATCTCCCCTGAATAGAGTTTGCAGTGCCTTGTCATGCAAATAGCTTGCTTGCAAGGAACGTTTGGAAATTTTACGAACATTATTTTTAGCTTTTAATTCTTTTAGGAAATAGTCTTGCCTAGATTTAATCTTTACGTCGGAGTTGCATCATAAATTGTACTCGGATTCAAACGACACAATGTCAATGATTTTATAAAAGTAAAAGCATATTGTGTATTGGCCTATTGGGTTTACACTTTTACAGGTTCATTTAACTCGAGTTTCAACAAACAATCGGACAGGCCAAATCCATTGATATGACAACTTCAAAAAACGTTTTTTCGAAGCTAGAAATCATGATTTTTTTCACATTTTTCCAGGGATACTCTAGACTCCCACTCGCGGCTCTAGTGCTCCACCCCTAGAATATAGACCTTACTGGGGTTTGGTGACACTTTGTGTTGCTTCAGTCACCTGCTCCCGGCTCAACCCCCTCTAAAATTTCTGGCACCACCCCAGTAAAAAATATGAAAATCCGTCTGTGTCGAAGATGTTAGCTCATTGTTTGAGCTACTCTGTAAATTCGAGTTAAAATCAAGTGTATGATATATATGTATGTATGCGTATGTATGGTTTACCTTCGTGCGATTAATATATATTTGTTTTCTGTTTCAAATTTAGACCCTGGTGCTACGTTTGAAAGGTATTGAATTTTAATTTATGTTTCATCTTTTATATATCTTTATTTACTAGCTTGTCAATAACATACAAATGGACAAGTACACAAGATACAATAACTAGGTTATTTTTATGGAAGTCCTGTCACGAAGATGGACTTTTTGATGGGAAGATTGGTCTTAGACTTGCTCCAAGTCCCTACTTCTCTTATACACTCAGGACGGATCTAGCCTCATCTGCAAGGAGGGGTGCAGGTTTTCCATGGAGTGGTGCATACGAGAGCCTTACTGCTCACGGACTCTCCTCTGCAGTCTGTAACGCTTCTATCCCGACATTATACCAGCTCACAAATTAATTAAATTGTTCCAAGAAATCGAAACGCGTAACGAATCATTAGAAGTTCCGCTCATCGCTATTCGAAAGGCAGAAAATGTATGGTCGGTCAAGCAGATTTTTTTAGGATGGTGCTGGACTTCTGTAGTGGGGTACTGGACACCCCCTGCACCCTCGCGCTAGATGCGCCCCTGCATGGATCCAATCTAGTTTGAATGACATTACGCGCGAAGGCGTATGAGAAATAGGGACTTGTATACATTGGAGTAATCCCGCAAACAATAAAATCCCCAATAGATTTTCTGTTCAAAACTGAACAGAATTGTTCTCTTCAGAGGTCTCGGAAGGAGCCTTTTCATATCCATTCAGTATTTTATATTTACATTCTTAGGACCCGTAGTCCGTCTACAGTTAGTTTGTTGCCTGATGACGTTACTGATCATCATCCGAGATTGGAAGAAAGTTTCACCATACATTTAGGTAAGTTGATGTAAAATCTGGTTTATGGATTTGACTCGATTTAATATGTAAAAAATAGGTACGCGACGCGTACATGTATCTGCGAAAAAAACTTGATTCACATTTTCATAACTTATCATAATAAATATAATAGCAAATAAGATTTTAAATTCAAACATAGTACAAATCTAACAAGGCTGTAGACAGCATGGAGGGCAGCAGGGGCAACTCAACCCTCCCCCGCACGCGTGATCTGGCGTGATAGCCTGGCGAAAATCGCGGACACGAAAATCATAGGGATAGGTATAGAGTGATTCATCTGGTATAATCTATCATCTGTGGTACGGTCACGGCACGTTTGCGATAGCATATATATCTGCTTCGCAGATACAACAAAAGGTTTGGGGCGTAATCATGGCAATTTCACATCATTAAAATATCGCTTAGTCACCATCGCAGCTTTATCCCAAAAGGTTTATCCAAACATTTATGTGAGAACAGGCTTGAACTCCTGATAAATTTTTCTTTATTTTGCTTTTGGAGAAATAAACACATCAGCTATAGTGAATTATAAGAACATCAATTCTCAATACGAGTTCATACAAATGACTGCATTTTCCAGGAGCGCAGATGAAATCGACGCATAATCTAAGGTTGATGTGTGGTGACCTTCTTGATCTATGTCGCTATAAACCAGCTAAACCAGGGTATGAAATTTATGCTATTAATTTTCTGCAGTCTAAAGTTTCATGTTGTCTGCACATGCACTTTCTTTGGAGACACCATTTGCCTCATGACAAATGTGAAAATGGTCAAGATAGTGCGTGTAATTATTCATATATTGCATGTATTAATATTTATGACTGTTGACATTGCTTTCTAGTCTTCAATATTTGAGCGAGTGACTAGCCTGCGTTGCTAGTTTTCGAAATGAAAATACATATACTACCAACACTTGAATTGTTTTGTTTTTCATTTACCCAAGCTTTTACTCACTCAAAATTTTGTTTACCCAACCCTTTTCTCTTCGGTGCCACCCCCGCCATAAATAATGACCGGTCCCTAAAATGATCGATCAGTTTGTGTGTTATAAATAAACACGTGTATTAGTTGTATTTATAAGTAAAAGTTTTTTAATACTGAAATTATACTTAGGCTCGGTGATTACAAGCCTATATTTCTAACAGAATCGACTTGGTTAAATCATTTTCATACTTGGGAATCACCTTCACCTCCAATTTGAAGTGGCATGACCATGTCGAAAAATAAACTCAGAAAGTTAACAAGCGTGGTGGACTTTTGAAACGCATTAGATCATTTCTCCCACTGAAAGCTCGTTTAATATTCTGTAACAGTCTCGTATTGCTTGTTTTCGATTATGCCGACCTGATTTTGGGCGATAATGGCAACATCACTGTCGTAGAATATTTGCAAATCTTGCAGAACAAAGCAGCAAAATTAATTATTGATCATCAACCATCATCCTCGGCCTCTAATGCGTTACAGATCTTAAACTGGAAATCATTATTTTATCGTAGATTATATCATCGGTGTTCATGTGTTCAAATGTTTAAATAATTTAACTGATCATGCATGATATACATTTTTCACATAATAGCGATTATCACGAATATAATACTAGATCTAAGAACAAATTGAGACTACCTAAGGTGCGCAGAAACTGTGAATGGTAAATACAGAGTCTGTTATCAAGCGATTTCAGATTGGAACAATCTAGATGACACGATAAAATGTTGTGAAACTCTAAATAGTTTTAAGTCGTATTTTTTTAAATTTCGTTAAATTTCTAATTTTAATATATATAGATATTTATAATGTGTAAATATTATTGCATGTATACTGATAAGTCATTTTATATTTCGAATTTTTTTTGTAAAGCATAAATTTTGTTCATGCAGGACCTGTCTGAAAATCACGTTATGTGAGTACAGTTTTCCTGACTAATAAATATCTTTACTAATAAAGATATTTACTAATATTCACTTAACCTTCGGCTCAGTGAATATAGGCTTGTAATTAGCAACTCGCCTTCGGCGACTAATTGTTAAATAGTGTATTGTTTTGATTATTTTGACAGAAAGCTGTAGAATTCCCATAACAATCTCAATTTATATATGTTCAATTAGGAGCAGTATCTGGGCACAACCACAGAGAATTCAAACTGCTATGTCCTTGTATTCTCAATCGCTCTCTGGCTTGGTTTTGCTTGTCGACAATAGAATTAACTCCTATACTGGGATTAAAAAAGGTTTGTACTCAGTACTATATGCTATATTAAGGGATTATTATTTATTTTACTATTAATATTTAATGTTTCATAAGCACTTTGAAGATTTAAAATACAGCAATAAGTTTATTGTAAGAACGATTACGGGGGAGGGAGGCATCAGAAGAGTGAAATAGGAATGGAATGAAATTGATTGGTATATGAATTAATCAAGCCTGGTTTAAGAACAGTTTGTTCTTTTCTGTAGAGTTTGCGTCTATATGTCAACGATCAACTGACTTTCATTTCCCCGATTTGGATAAGCAGTTTTGTATGATTCAACAGAATTTGGAAGAAAGGCAAAAAAAGAAACTTGCTGAGAAAAAAACTGACAAGGTTGCTGAGACAAAAACTGACGAAGCTTTTAAAACTTCAACCATCGAAACTGGTGAGTCATTGCCTTGAAATATTTCACAATCTACATTCACTGTATTATAAAGTGCGTATGGTAATGTAATTTCCCTTTCTTCCCGATTAATTTTAGTCGGCACGGCCACAACCATTTAACGGGAAGTTGTGTTTGTGACCGTGGATTATAGACATGGAGGCGACGCCTGAGTGTCTATATTCACCATAGACAA